CACTTCGAGAGGGATTTGCTTGAGGGTTGCCACTACCAACCTCAAAGTTTGTAATTAAAGGGATGTGCTTGTGCGACCAATGAACAAGCCTCAGTCCAATCGAGCAGCGACCATCTTGGGAAGGCACCTGCAACTGGTGGCTCGTCTGATTCCCCTGGCTTCTAGCCAAGACATAGTCAAAGGCCACCTGCAACCCCATGAGTTGCTGATGTTAAGATTGAAGAGAACAAGGATGAGAGAATGTTCTTTTGTTGGGCCTTTCTGTGCATTTGTGAGGCCTCAACGGGAACTTGGACCACGATGCTTGCTTGGAAGTTTGCATTTTCTTCCCACTTCTCATCCTAAGCGCAAAACATGCAGGAGTTATACATGCAAGATCTATTGGACACCGTGGCCTGTCTCTCATGACATGTCCAAGCCCCGCACTTCGATCTGGCCATTGTAAACCTTGGTTTCGGGCACAACGGTCCGCGTCTGACTCCGTGTTGGACATGTCTCACATTGCCTTGCTCTGCTGCAGAGACACGTAGGCCAATTCCGGGGGCCGATCTGTCCGTACGCCTTTCGGCCCTTCTTTCAGGGCATCCTGCCCGTGTTTCACATGGAACGCTCAGAAACTCCCCTAATTCAAGAGTGGCTGAAATATGGGGAGTTTCTGTGCCTACTGCAAAACAAGCGAGCCACGGACAAAGCATGGCGTCAAGTAATCCCTGTCGCAGGAATCGGAAACAAATAAAAATAGAAACCTGGAAAAGTGCACAAGAATGAAAGAACAACAAAACACTTAAAAAACATTATGCCGGCGACAAACCCCAAACAGAGTTCAGAAATCACAGTGATGAGTCATGAGTGAAAAATGATTTCGTTGTCCTTCTGGCAATGGTAGCGGTGGTCGTCAACGGTAGTGGCAGAGTGGAGTGTGTGGTAGTGCGGTAGCGTGGTAGGGTGGTAGTGGTAGCCGCGCTTTCCGCGAAATCTGCACGTCGGGGTTCACAAGGTGCTGTGCGTGCCAGGAAATCTGCACTTCCAGGTTCACAAAGCGCTCATGTCCATCTTGCATTCTGCTGACATTCTAACTGCCATATCTCTTGGCATTTCTATCTTGATGGTGTGCAGGTCGGTGCGTGCCCAGACTGACCTGGCGCTCTCTATGGTGTGCTGACACTTGCTGTGACGACATGGCAGGAGGAGTGCAACGCGGATGGTGGATGGTGTGGCGCAGGCGGATGGAGTAGCACCTTTGTTCCTAATAGCTATCAAAACCTACTAGCAATGGCTTCCAACCCACGAGCGATGGCCTCCTCCAACCTACTAAGACTAGCAATGGCCTCCAACCTACTAGCGATGGCCTCCTCCAATCTAGTCTACTAGGAATGGCCTCCAACCTACTAGCGATGGCCTCCTCCAATCTACTAGGAATGGCCTCCAACCTACTAGCGATGGCCTCCTCCAACCTAAAAGCGATGGCCTCCACCCTACTAGCAATGGCCTCCAACCTAAAAGGAATGGCCTCCAACCAAATAGCGATGGCCTCACACCTACTAGCAATGGCCTCCAACATGCTAGCCATGGCCTCTAACCTAACATTAATGGCCTCAGACCTAATAGCGATGGCCTCCGACCTAATAGCAATGGCTTCCAACCGAATAGCAATGGCGTCAAACCTAAAAGCAATGGCCTCCAACATAATAGCAATGGCCTCCCACCTACTATCAATGGCCTCCAACCTACTAACTAGCGATGGCCCCCAACCTAAAAACAATGGCCTCCAACCTATTAGGGATGGCCTCCTCTGACCTACTTGCAATGGTCTCCAACCTACTAGCGATCGCCTCCAACCTAAAAGCACTCCAACCTGCTAACTAGCGATGGCCTCCAACCTAGGAGTAACACCAAACTAGCGATGGCCTCACCTGGCAGGTGGCAATATGTGGCAGTAAACAAGAAAATCAATTTCTCGCTGGGGCAACGCTTTGGACCAGATCGTCCTTGTAGGCCCATGCTGGAACGCCCTGCACCGTATCGTCTGTGACGCCCTGCACCGTATCGTCAGGGTGTCGGGAATGTCTGGGAAGGCGGACCCACAAGACACATAAATTGGAGTTTGATTGGCATCGGAGCCCCACACGTAGCTTCTTGTTACTACTAGTAAGGCACTTGTTACTAGTAGCGATGCACTTGTTCCTAGTAGCTTCTTGCTCCTAGTAGTAAGGCCAGGAGCCCCTAGTAGCTTCTAGTTAAAATAGAATTGGATAAACATTGCCATTTTAACATATGTTATATAGAGTCGATGTGTGTTTTGTTTACATAGAAATTAGACAAGCAACTCGAGTATACAAACCGAAGACGGCTTCCCAGCCTTCTGCCGCATGGCCATCTTTGACCTGATCTTATGCAACTCTTTTTTGACATATGACTTGATGGCTGATCGACTGAAAAACCTCCAAATCTTGAGATCTCACATGATCTCACCGTTGAACTACTAAGTCCTCCACCGCTCAATGAAGATTCTCTCATCTTCGATCAAGCGCAAATCGGCCGGAGGCATCTGCCACAAATCTTCGCCATGCTGAATTTGACTCAAAGGCTTCACCTTCGGCTTGGGCGACACGGGCTCCACCTCTTTCGTCGCGGGCTCGTTGACCTCCCTTCTGGACTGATACTTCACCGTTTCTCCCAGGGTGTCCTCCAAGACCTTGATTTTTCGCTTCAAAACTGCAGCTTCTTCATAGTCCTCCTCTTCCACCGCTCGCTGCTTTGCCTCCTTCAACCGTGCCACCTCAGCCGCCAAGTTGTGCCTTCGGTCCTCATCCAGCTCGGATGGCAGCTCCAGCGGGGGATCCGGGACGCACGGGGCGGTCATGTCATCGGGACAAGAAATAACGAGATGAGACTGATGTCAGTTCAATATGTGTTTCTAAGAAGACTGTCTTTAAGATAAATATCGAATTAAGTCTATCACTTTGTGTGAATCTGCGACAGAACACGATCAAAGGCACGAACATGCTCGTCTTGGAATGTGAACATTTTTCGGGTGACTAGCTATGAAACATAGATGGAATACATATGTTTCATCGCTGACCCCATGTGGAGTCTCAAAAGCAAGAAATGGCTGCAGAGTGTTCTTTTTCCAATTTGTCTTCCGACTTGCTCCTGCCTTTCGCAATCTTTCGCCCTAGAGTCCAAACATGGCTGACAGCTGCCATTCTTGCGGGAAGCGTGCCACAGAAGAAGGAGGAGATTGTGAACCTGCCACCGTGCCAATTGGATCAGTCTCAAACCTATCACTTCACCTCGATTGACGGCAGGACTGTTTGGTCGGGAAAAAGTATTAAATATTTTTGAGATTTACATGATTTTACCTGCTCTTGGTCTATACATCATTGCGTTGGTTGGAGGCCATCTAGGAGGAGGCCATTGCTTCTAGCTAGCTATTAGGAGCTATTAGGTTGAAGGCCATTCGTTGAGAAAAAGTCCTAGCCGGTTTGATCATTGATTTAAGATTATTTAAGTAGACAAGGACGCTACTAGGGGCTCCTGGCCTTACTACTAGGAGCAAGGACGCTAGTCGGCTCTTGCTTGCACCCCAGCTAGGATCGCTCACCGCTTCTGCCAGTGGCCAGAGAAGAGTGCGGCCTCAGCATGAACTAGTTTCGGGGCCATCGCTGGTAGGTTGGAGGCCATCGCTATTTGGTTGGAGGCCAGCGCTATTAAGTTGTTCAAGATAGCATTGCCCGTAGCATTCAAGTCCTAGGCATAAACCTTGACATAAACTCCTTTGATGCACTCCTTTTGGAAGACCTGTTTTGATATGGCTTCCTTTCCTTAGTTGTGTTTGTAAGTTTAATTTACGTATTAATTTGTTCTAGACCTTTAGACCTGTCTTCCTTTCCTTCGTTCTTTCTTGCTCCTAGTAGCGATGCCCTTTGCTCCTAGTAGCGTCCTTGTTACTACTAGTAAGGCACTTGTTACTACTAGTAAGTTAGGCACTTGTTGCTAGTAGCTTCTTGTTACTAGTAGCTTATTGAACACATACAGTACATTCTTGCTACTCAGTGATGTTCTCCAGCAGGCTCTGACCACTGCGCACTCGGCACCCGGCGACTGCAGCGAAGGCATCGCCATGGTATTGCCTGAATCGTCTAGCCGGATGGAAGTTGCGGCACCAAGACTGCGTTTTCAAGAAATGTCTGTCTGTGATGTTTTTGCGTTTCTTTGTTTGGAGGTTTTGACATTTGAAATGAAACCGTTTCTGTTTTGCTTTCTTTGTTGGAGCAAGGACGCTACTAGGGGCTCCTGGCCTTACTACTAGGAACAAGAAGCTACTAGGGGCTCCTGGCATCGCTACTAGGAGCAAGGACGCTAGTAGGTTGGAGGTCATCGCTTCTTGGTTGGCCATTCAAAGAACGCATAACACCTTCCACCCCGAGTGAGCCCGAGCGAGCGCTGGACCCTTTTCTCATGCAGCGGGCAAACCGAACGCCCTGTACGTGGACCATCGACCGAAAGAGACCCTGCTTGGTGAAACGGGTGAGACAGGATGCCAGGTGGCAGGATACAACACGTCATCGAAAAGAAACTGAAACTGATGTTCACCAAGTCTACACTGATTTCAGCAGGAAACGGTTTTGTGAGCTGACTTGCTTTGGACCTTCGCATTTCTCGGCTGCCACAGCTGTGTTGGACCCACACCCAACTAAAGGGAGGTCGAGAGCTGTGAGAGAGACTAAATCTCGATGGGCTTCCTCGGTCGCGGCAGGCGTTCTTGAAGGCCTGCCTTGGACGTAACTATTACCTGTACACACAGTCCTTTTCGGTTTTGTCCTTTCGTTCTTTTTTACTTTTCTTTGGGAATCTTTCGACTCTTCATATTGTTTGTTTTGCTTCAAGGCGCTTTAGGCCTTACCCTTGACCCTTGACTGTCCGTTGGCTGTAAGTATGAACCAGAGTTACTGTAACAATAACGTTTGCCTTTTGGTCTTCATGGTTCTTCTCTGTTTCTTTGAGGCTGCGACGGGTTGGGCTTTCGGATGAAGCGCATGGTGGATCCTTGAGCTGTAGGTTTGAAGGGCGCGTTGACACCATAGGCCTTCCAAATGCGGAACCAAAGGAGACTCCAGATTTCACTGTAATTACGATTAATGAGAATATCTTCTCGTGGCGTTCTTGCTCCTAGTAGTAAGGCCAGGAGCCCCTAGTAGCGTTCTTGTTCCTAGTAGTAAGGCCAGGAGCCCTAGTAGCGTTCTTGCTCCTAGTAGTAAGGCCAGGAGCCCCTAGTAGCGTTCTTGTTCGTAGTAGTAAGTTAATGAGACCTATAATTACTACCAAATCAAGTTGTTTCCTGCAAGCCCAGGCCAACCTTGGGAAGACCATGCTCGTCGTCAGGGATGTAAGCATTGACCTGAGTCAAACCATCTCTGATCTGGTCACCAAAAGTAATTCTGAAACCGTCTCAGTATGCCTATGCGGCATATGCCTACGCCAGGACACCTTCCATATTCCGTATTCCTATCAGAAACCATGCAACACACGCTCGAGAACATGATCATATCGTCAACAGTAATGCTTCACGCTCCAACTCGTCGCCCTTCGCGCGTTTCTTCGGTCCCACACCCGCGGCTCAGCTGTGGTCCTGGTGAAGTTGCTGTTCATCACATCCTCCTCCTGCTTTCGCTGAACCGCCGCCTGATCCAAAACACGAAACGGCCACGGAAACCACGACCTGAACACACATGTTCGATACAAACACATATACATGTAGCAAACAAATTGGGTTGGTGTTCCTAGATGTTTGTTCCTAGCTTTGGGGGGGAACTTAAGTTGAACTCTTGCCTTAACTAGTTTCAAGGTCTAAGAGCAGTGGTTTTTTCATTACCTGTTTTTTGTGCTTTCCACTTTATTCTGTTCTTCTTTTTCTTCTTTTCTTCCTTCTTCTTTCTCATTCTCCTTCTCTTTCTCCTCCTTCTTCTCCTCTTCTCTAAGCCTTGAAACCTATCTGTTCTTCCTTTATCATTTGTGAAAAAATAGAAAAGGACTACTTTTTAGGCCTTAGCCAACCACGCCTTGCTATTCAAAAGAGCACATCGTTTCTTAGCAGTCCACATCCTCTGCCTCATTGGTACTCCCTTAAACAAACCCGACGACACTCAACAGCGAACCGGAACCCAACGCCGCCGTTGGCTGCCTGTCTGTCCAACTCCCTCTGGTGCTCCACCTGGCACAAGAGAAATTGATCAAATTCAGATTGTTTTCACTTCGGTTTCGGCTGGCCATCCCATAATATCTACACAAATATACAGTATCAAGAACATCATTCCTTGCAAAAGCCTCCCCTTTGGTGTCTTGAAGCCTGCAGGGATTTCAAAACTGTAATTTTCCACGCAAACCAACCTGCAGCATCTTCTGGAACTCTCCATCTGCTGCTTCTGTCGGTGCCTGCTATAGTCAGAGCTTCTTGCATCACGACATGCAAGGCTCCTTCTGGAAGCAAGGGAGGGATAAGAACGAAGAAAGAAAAAGAAGGAAGGACTAAACGGACTGAACTGCCTACCCGTGTGTTTTGTCATTTGTCTTCCTTCTCGTCTTTTTCTTTGGACCTTTCTTGTTCAAAATCCCTTTCAAACGGGTGTCAAACACAGAGCGACACAGGCACCCGACCGGACGGGCACCCGACCGGCCTGTCCATTTTCCAAGTTCTCCCGAGCCAGGATAGCACGCTCGCAAGCTTCGTCGCGCTCTTTCTGGCGAAAAGTGCAGAACGAGCAGAGCGAGCAGAGCAATGAATGAAGAGGTTCTTTACTTGTCTATCCGAGGCAACCTTGCCTTCTGGGAATGATCATGAGTCATATGCTATGAGTCAGATCGGTCAGTGTTCCACTTGAGGCATCCATGGCGCCAGATGCCGGCATCTATGTGGGCCGGGCGCCAGGGGAGGCGGCCCAGTCCTGCAGCTTGTGGGCTGTGGCTTGATGCATCGACAACTCGCTCACAGTGGCCTCAGATCAGCGAGCGAAGCTGAGCACATGTTTCAAAGCCCCTAGCAGCATCCTCTTGTTCCTAGTAGTAAGAAATGCTCCTAGTAGCGAGGCCAGGAGCCCCTAGTAGCGATGCCCTAAGACAATGGTGTTGGTTTCACGGTGTTTTCTTAGCAATGGTTTTTCAACCTAAGAGCGAGCGATGGCCAAACCTTTTCTGATCCTGTTGCACTCTGTTGCACTCATCTTGTCCTTCATGTTCCTTCGTTTCTCTTCTCTATTCTTTAGACGTCCAGAGAATCCTCTGGACCTTTTCGACGTCTTCCTTTCTTTCTCATTCGCTCTTTCGTGTCTTTCGCTCTTTCATTTCCAATTGTCCTTTCCTTTGCTTTAGACCGATTTAGACCTCCAGCCTTCAGACCTTTCTTTGGGTCCTTCCCTTACTTCTTCCTTTCAACACTCCTTCCTTTGGGTAATGAGAATATATCGTAATTTATGTCCTTGATGGTACTTGTGGTGCATATTACATCATATTATATAATATTCTATGTTTAGTTCACCCGCGCAATACTGAAAGTGGTGACGACCGCACCACCGTGAAGACCAGTTTCCCAGAGTTTTAATCTCCTCTGGAAACGGAGCAATCCTACTAGCATTGGCCTCCAACCTAGTAGCGATGGCCTCCCCAAGCATTTCAGATTCAGGTCTAACCATGCCTGACAAGCCACGGTCACTGGGAAACCCGACCATCATCTTCCGGGTCACATCCTTGATGCGCGACTGAAAGAGGTTCACCTGCCATGAATCTTGATAATGTCAAGGATGGTAGTGGCTTGCCACCCTACCGGAGCAAGGCAACTTGATGCAACTGCCGTGCCCTTTTTCGTGCAAGTGAAACTGCCAACCTCCCGGTTTGCACCGGTGGCGAATCCTAATGGGTGAAAAGCAGCGCATCAACGACTGCTCAGCTTGAAAAGGACCACGTCCTGCTGCGTCTGTCAGAATCAAATGAGTGATAGTACTTGCTTGGGGCCCAGTGGCAATGAAAGCCCTTTGATTCTCTGCTAGTCAAGAAATAGCAGGACTTAATCAGCTGAGCATGGGCTCACAAGTTGTGACCCCCGATGCGTCTTGCTCTGAGGATGAGCTCTTGGGCGCATAGCTCCCAGACTCCAGCCTGCCACACCACGGTTTCGTTACCGTCGTTCCACCAAAAAAGAAACTTAAGAGAAATTATTGGATGATCTAGGATGGCCTAAGGGTCAGGGATTTGCAGCGAAATCTGTACAACGCCAACATCTGGGCCTCTCAAGATTCTGGACAGCTTGAGGAGGGCTTCACAGACTGTTGGGCAGTCATTCGGACAGATTGGCCCTTTGGGCGATCCTCCCGAAGAACAAGCAAACGTTGTTTTTTAATGCTTTCTTGACGTTGTTCATGCCTTTTCAGTGAACATCAAAGACCAACTCCGAATCCAACTTTTTTTTCTGCATGAAGTCCTTGTCCTTTGATTGCTTTGTTCAGGGAACAAATTGTATGTCTCTGAGTATACTATACATAAGAGCGTTCACCTTTCAGATTCTGCATATCACTTCACTTTCAATGGAGGCAAAAAGCGGCCCGAGCTTGATGACCTGAATAGAGAGACTTTGGTACAAAGGTGGCCAATAAAGAACCTACGGGGATATATGAATGATGATATATGATGATATGCTAGGGATTGCTAGGGTGCTTTTTGAACCACAAGTAGGGTACAAGCAAGGTGTTGTCCCAGTCCTTGAGAAGACATGCAGCTTCTGCCGTATTTGCTCTGAGGTCACTGGCTTTAACGGCACGTACTCACCGTCCACCACCTTCCATCTAGGCAAGTTCGCCACCTCTCATGTGGCAGCCGTCCATGAATTTCACAATCATAGACTACAAATTCATATACTATCATTCACTTCAAACTTCAACGAACACCCAAGTGACGTATGAATTCCATCGTCGACTTCAAGTCGACTTCAAACGGCTGAGGTTCATGTTCTTTCTTCGGCCAAAGGATGGAAAAAAATTGTTCTTTCTTCAGAAACAAACTCTTGGAAGACTTGTTACTAGTAGATTCTAGCTACTAGTAGCGATGGCCTCCAACCTACTAGCAATGGCCTCCAACCTAATAGCGATGGCCTCCAACCCAATAGGGATGGCCTCCAACCTAGTACAGTAGCTTCTAGCTGTTCCTAATAGTGATTCACTTGTTACTAGGTGGTGGGAATTCTGTCTGGAATGACCTCATTTTCATGAAGTGCTCCGACCTCTGCATCATCGCAAACCGTGGAAGGCGTATCGGGCCGCGTCCAAGATGCCTGGAAACAGGTTGACAGACTCGGTTGGTTGGCCTCCAGCCTTGTCGTAATCCTTCGATGTCTGGTTAACCTTCCACTGCTCTTCCAGTTTGACCAAAACCCTAGTAGCGATGCTCCAACCTAGTAGCGATGGCCTCCAACCTAATAGCTTGACCAAATACAGCTGATCTGCCCAGTTCAACGACTCCTCTGAGCACCCAGCCAGTGGAGTATCGCTGCGCTGCCATGGAGGCCGCAGCCAGGAAGGCGTACTGGGCCGCCTGAGGCGAAGGACACAAAAGACCTTTCCAAACCATGGCAGCCATGGAACTCTTAATCAGTATTTTGTTTTTGCTCTTTCTTGTTTGTTGCTTATCCTTAGTCGCTTGTACGTTAAGAAAATAACATAACACAGCACTACCACGGCAACGCCGTTCCAACATCGCCATGGTCCTCCCTCCAAACCGGTCGCTGAGTCGATGGCGTTGCCGTGCTCGGCCGGGATCGATAGGAGCTGCGAGGACGTCCATCCGACTGGCCGCGCGGCTGCGATGAGACGTCACACAGAGAGGAACATCTTCCTGCCCCAATGCAGGCCAGGAATGTGGATACATTGCTTGTAATTACACATTGGTAACAAATGGTAACAAGGGCATTACTACTAGCAAGAAGCTACTAGTAACAAGGTGCATCGCTACTTAGCGATCGGACGCTACAAGCGGAGGCCAAACGTCGGCACGAACAGAGTTGGCACCGACCGACCTTACGGCGGTTGGTGACCGACGCCGCGAGTCGAGTGCATCGCTGTGCGCTCGGATGCGCTCGGGTGCGCTCAGTGCCTCGCGTGCTGCTAACGGCGCACTCGGTGTCGAAGGCACCTGCAAAGGCTGATCTTCGAAAGGAAATGAACAGTTCCGAGGCAAGTTGATCGAACAAAATGTTTCCTGGGAAGAAGACATGATTAAATAGGCCATTCTGAAATGCCATTCGCCGTGTTGAAGGAAGTCTTTCTGCTTGCGGGTATCCTTGATTAACCTTCAGGGCTGCCAACTCACCTCTAGTCCCGGTGCCACTGGAACGCCAGCAGATGCCGAAGGGCTGGATGAAATCGAATACCCAGCCTAAGCAAAGCTCTTTGAATCATTCGAATCTGCCAAAAAAGGAAGAACAAGAAGTAAAGAAAAATGTCAAAAGGTCTTTAAGAAAAAAATGGAAAAGTGAAATCGCATCTGACACTTTGGGATGGCACGAACGGTTTGTCGAAACATGTCTCCACAACGTAAGGGTCTTGCCGTGTCAGACTCATCTGCCTGCAAACGACAAATCTTTGTAGCTGACAGCCAAAGTCGGCCCTGCTGATATTCAAGCATCCTCCAACCTAATAGCGGCCTCCAACCTACTTGCAATGGCCTCCCAACCTTAATAGTGAAAGGAACCCAATCGAGTACCACCTCGCTTGTCCACTACAATGTTCTACAGCAGTCCGCGTCAAGACTCTCTGTTTCCCATTGTTTCCCCTCTCTGTTCGCACTGATGGGTGGCTCCCTAGCCATGGCGAAGACGTCTCGTTTCCATGTCCCTGAGAATCCACCCCCGTTCTGCCGAAGACCGAAGACGAGCTGAAAACGGCAACTCGAGTAGCTGAAACCACATGCGACGAAGGGATCTCCCATTCAGATTGAACTGGGAGATCATGGCATTCTGTCCGAGTTCGGCTTGAAACCGCTTGTAGACCAAGATAGAATCCAAACTCACACCCCCCCGCCTTGAAGCGTTGCCGGCGTGGTGCATACCCGCCGCGCCTAGGGATTCAAAAGAACACCCACATTCGTTTTGTCACGTTTCTCAGGAGCTTCCTGTTGTCTTTTTTGGAGCTTCAGGGTGTGGGTCTCGGAGCCCCCCGAAGGAACAAGGGCATTTGTAGGTTGGAGGCCATTGCTTCTAGGTTGGGTTCCAGGACATGGCTCCTAAGGCCGCGGCGGAGAGTTCTGTGCACATCGCGACGGAGAGGGTGGATGGCACACTTCCCGTGCTTCCTTGCTGCCCTGTGGCGTAAGAAACCGAAGCCCAGTCTACAGCCACAGCTGCTCTCTCAAACCCTGCTGTTACCAGTTTCACTCACACTGATGCTGGAAATGTGTCCCTTTATTCAAAACACAATTAGCATTATCAACCTTGAGGGTAAATTGAACTGGAGAAACCCTATGTACGAAAAGAACGAAAAAACTGATTGAAGGCTGATTTCGATCAGGCATGGTTCACCAGTGGCAAGTGCAGGCATCTGCAGCAGCCCCACCTGGGCCTGGTGAGAATCCGAGCTTTCATAGCCATCCTCAGTATGTTGGTCCGGATGTTGTCGCTTCAGACTTGCCGTCAGAATGCTTCCAGCCTCACTGATCAGGTGGGCTCGCAAATCTGCTCGTTGAACGAAAACATGAAGACCTGCCCGGCTGCCAGGGCCATCAAGTCCATCTGGAGGCCATCGCAATTAGAAACAAGAAGCTACCAGGCGCGCCTTACTAGTAGTAACAAGAAGCTACTAGATTGGAGGCCATCGCAAGTAGGTTGGAGATTGGTCCCAGTCGTCCCAGTCCCTCCTCGCAGCAATGCCAAAGGTTGTCGCAAGTTCACCTCCTTCCGAAGCGATGGGGAAGCCTTGGAGCTCAAAGGTCGAACAAGCTTTTTGTTCCTAGTAGTAAGGCACTTGTTACTACTAGCGTGGCACTTGTTACTAGTAGCTATTAGTTAATTAAAACGTGAAATGAGCAAAAGTCCACATGTTTGGAAACAAAGCCCAGCTTAAGAAGCAGTAACAAGAAGCTAGTAGAAACAAGTGCATCGCTACTAGTAACAAGTGCCTTACTACTTAGTAACAAGAAGCTAGTCTGAGGCTCCCCCTTCAAGTCAGCTGAGCCTCATACTGCTACTCCGGCCTCTAAACGGCAGGCTGCATTGCAGGCCTCGCTGTTCACTGGCGATAAATGGTCTGGCGATTGTTGAAGTGTCTTGGCTGAAAGGTGAAATCGTTGGCCTCACCGAGTGAATGCCACTGCTGGACCTCGTGACGGTGGGATTGTCATCGCTAAGTTGGAGGTTATTGGTAGGTTGGAGGCCATCGCAATTGGGTGGGAGGCCATCGCAAGTAGGTTGGAGGCCATTGCTGGGATTGGTGATCCAAAAGAAAAAATGTCGCTCTTAGACTCCCGACGCAATCCTCCAATGCTTCCGCGCCATCGGAGACACTCACATCCTTCGAACAAGACCGAAACCGGTTAAACCGGCCGGAAACAATTGCCATTCCAAAGGCCTTTCAAAGGACCAAATACAAAGATTTGCGCCTGAAATGTATAAAATAACGTAAACTATATCTCTTTAAACAATTTTACTCCTTGCCAGGCACTGGCAACGTATCTTACATCACGGGGCCTCCCGCAGCGAGACGACAGCACGCAGAAGGTCATCCAGGACTTTGGCCAAATCATCCTGGACTTTGAGTCATCCAAGGGTGAGGGACTTGAGAAGCCCCCAAAGGTTTCGTGGCTTCGTCTGTGACAGGAGACATGTATGGACACGTCCAAGTACGGGAGATGTATAGAATGCGTCATCGTGAGTGTCCCAACCGCTTGGGCCGTTTAACACTACTAGATACTACTTGACCAATCCTGGAAATGTGAAGAGTTCTCGTCAGCAACACGTCCAACTACTAGCAATGGCCTCCAAACCCTAAAGAAGCAATGGCCTCCACCCAACATTGACAGCGGATGTGTGGCGCACTTCACTAAGTCATGAATTAGACGCTACTAGGGGCTCCTGGCCATACTGTATATACTACTAGGAGCAAGGATGCAGCCCACGTAGCCCATGTCCTTGACAAAGGTCTCCCGCAAATCAGCCAGAAGCGTCATCAATTTCCCCGAACGATCCATCAAGACCTCAATTCTTCTCTGAAAGGAGCTACTAGTAGCGTCCTTGCTCCTAGTAGTAAGGCCAGGAGCCCCTAGTAGCTTCTTGTTACAGTATTGAGAAGAAAGACAAATTATATGAGAAAGGAAGCAAAGGATGAAAAAAATAATTGTCTACAGATCTACAGAAGAACAACAACATACAAAAATGAACTTATTATTCAATTTTGGAAGCATTCTTGTTAGTTGTAAGGAGTAGGTAGTTCAGTCCAAGACTTCAGGTAAGCCAAATAGGTGGTTCCGAATGCATATTGGTTCCTGGAACCATCAGGAAAAGCCAGCTTCACTTTGTTTAAGCCGTTCATATTGTACTCCTTTTTTTTCCTTTGACCCACAACCTCAGTGCCTGGCTGCGCTGCTGTCTCCTCAGGCCATGTCTCTGGTCGAACCCAGTGACCGCATGACCATGTGGCCCTCTCAGTGGCCGACCCAATCGGTCAGGGTCCTCTCGGTTTCCAGCCAACACCTAGCGAACGCTTTTTGGTAACTAGGAGCAAGGACGCTACTAGGAGCAAAGGGCATCGCTACTAGGAGCAAGGACGCTACTAGGGGCTCCTGGCCTTACTACTAGGAGCAAGAACGCTACTTATTATCTCTCAGAGATTCACAGTGCATCCAACCTGCTAGCGATAACCTCCAACCTACTAGCGATGGCCTCCACCCTAAGGCCCTAGTTCTCTCATATATATATATGTTGTTCCTTGTTCTTCCCTGAGATCAACAAAGCCACCATTGCCTTCATAATGAGGTGAAAGGCATCCCTTTCACCTTGGAGAAAAACACTGAGGTGTTTGTCGGAGGGGACTTCTGTGAATTGTAAACTGGTACCGATGAACGAACACCTGAATTTGTGAATACCTGGTGCAAAAAAGCTGCTGGTGCTCCATGTCTCTATCTTGACATTGTCTTGGCTCAGCCTCGCAAACAGCAAATGATGCAGGAAGGAGATGATTGAGTACACTACCAGGGTTACCATGAGTACACTGAGTACACTACTCTTTCTCAATCGCTTTGGCGGCATCGACCACCTCAGGACAAGCTTTCCCTTAACGAAGGAAAGGCAAGGTTTGGAGTCTGAAGGTGAATGCATGAAAAGGAAGAAAGGAAAAGAGCGAAAGGACCTAGGAAAGGAAGGAAAACATGTGCTTTTCTCGCTTTTCTACACCGACACCTGCAATTGCTCAGCGAAATGCCGATCTGCTCCGAATAACCCTGAAGGTGCTCGGAAACTCTGAGCCACAAGCTCTCCAGGCTGCGGAATCCCTCACCGGCCTCGAAAAATGGAGCTTTGATGGACACAAAGGAGCAAATTCAAGCAAAAAGCTACTAGTAACAAGGGCATCGCTACTAGGAGCAAGGGCCTTACTAGGAATAACAAGAAGCTATTAAAAACAATAAGCTACCAAAACAAGAGAAACAAAGCAAATTGGGTTGGTTTCGTTTCTCGACGGCGGTTGGTTTCACAATGTGTGTTCTTGCCGTTCGCAGTGCAGTGAGGAGAAAAACAAAGAAAAGGAGTTCAAAGTAAAGCTAGGACCAACTGCAGAACCGTAGTAGATGGCACTAAACGGCCAAGTTTGGAAAAATGTTTTCTTCTGGCACGCCGCTACACACCAAAACCATGAAAACGATTTTATTTGTCTTCCTTGCTGGCTTGGTATCGCTCGCTTGCCTCAGGCGAGAGGTCATCTCTGCCGCGGCATCTGACAACAACTCCAAGGTTTGCGTGGGCCTAAGCCGTGCACGGCATCTGCATGGGCTGCGAAAGCGCCGAGCCACCAAGTGGCTCCAGGTCGAATTAGTTATACCTTACTCTTAGAAACCAAATGAAACCAGCATGATCTTTACAATTTACGTGTCTTTGTTTTCCTTTCAAATTTTGACCTTTAGTTGTTTGTCCTTCTCTTCGTTCCTTTCGTCTCTGTTCTTTTCTGTCCTGCTTTCCTTTTCTCCCTTGCCATCACGAACATCTCGAGACTAGAATGCTTTTCGAGAGGGTGGGTGAGCAAAACTCGCACAAGTGTCCGACCATCCAGATCTGGAGCTCTCCAACGACGTGCCAAAGGTAGCATTTGCCAAGTAGATCTGCCTGAGAAACTTGGATCATCAAACAGATCGTTGAGTGGGGTTGTGTTGAGATCTGCAGCAAAATTGGCATCTTCCACCACACCTGGCAGATCTCAATGCTTCGACGCCTTGGCTTCGACTCAACTCCGACAGATTGCAGGCATTGTAAGGCGGCGTATCTAGAATCATCACCAAAGGTCTAGAGTATGTTCATAAAGTACAAACAATACCCGTTTAAAAGACGGTGAAGACAATAAAAAAACAATATCCTGCAGGTGTATATTAATTTCATCTTTTTCATGTGTCACTTTTCTCCATATTTCTTCTACCAGCATGGCAGGCCAATCAGCAAGATGCAGGATATCCGCATACTATGAGACGATCTCGCAATTGCGCCTCGATCAATGCGACGAAGGAAAATGCCTTCCTCCTGAGCGCGGGTTTCCCCAAACATCCTCACTACCTTGCGTCGTTCACGAGACTTACGTCTTGGCACATCCGTCTTCGAAAGGGGCCCACCGCTAGCTTCGCTAGTAGGTTGGAGGCCATCGCTAGCTTCGCTAGGTAGGTTAAAAACCAAAAATAACAACTCAGCTTCCGTCTATCCTTCGCTTCGCATCGCGCCTGCACCAAACGATCCCAAAGCTCTTCGCGGCTCTCCAACGCTTGCCGGGCAGCCTCCCACCTCGGCGGGCTGTGTCACACCAGGTCATTTTTCGGGGGGGGATCGCCGCATCTGTGTGCGATGCCCTTTGTTCCTAGTAGCTTCTTGCTCCTAGTAGTAAGGCCAGGAGCCCCTAGTAGCGTCCTTGCTCTTTCCAGCTGCTCTGTGTGCGACACCAGCTTTCCAGCTGCTCCAATTCGGCCAAAGGCCCTGCCGAATCCGCCGTTGGCATGTCAACGTTCCTCTCCGTGTGAAGCCCACCAACGAACGCCGTTCGAAGGCCTTTAATGGCCTGATCCTGGAGTCAACTTCCCTCTAGGCTTTCCGAAAGAAGGCTCAAAGCGTCCATCTCCAACACCGTGCTTGCCTCTGAAGTGCCAGTCCACTACCTGCAGAGGTGGCAAAAAACACCTGATTCAAAGCTTTGTACATCTTTGTACTGTAACTACCACATCATCTTCCAAAGCCTCTCTGAAAGCCCACTTCTCCTTGGTCCTCCTTTGTACTGTTGCTTCTCCGCAGAGTCTCTCTTCTCGGAGCCCCCGCCGCTCGGGCGATCACCGCAGGAACGGCAGCTGCCTCGTGTGGACTGCCAGACTGATGAGTTTACATCAAAATGCCGCCCCCGACTTGGTCATATTTGGATCAACAATCCAAGTCGGTATTGAGAAATGGTGCCAGTTTGGGTGCAAGTTGCGGAAGCCCAGTTCGACTCCCCTGAGACTTGGGCAATTCGCTCTGCTCTCTCGCTCACGACCTGTCTGCGCGTCCGGACATGCGCAGGACGCGGACGTTTTCGTCCGGACTCATCGCATCGATTGTTTTCGTCGAGTCGAGTCAGAGAGATGTGCACCTGACTGACTTTTTTACAGTACCTACGGTACCTACGTCTCATCTAAAGCACAAAAAGGAAGAGAGAAGCTAGCATAATTGAGCTAGCAATCATTTGGTCAGCAAAGCAAAAGAATCATTCACAATGGACTTGTCACAAGATTGGGCAGCTAGAACACCAAGGAAGCAAGAGACAAGTTGTGAGCCTGCGACATAAAGGCAGAGACAATCCTCACCTGTCCCTCCATTGCCTCAACAATGGCCATGTGTCTCATGATCAGTGGATATACATGCGACAAGCGAAACTGAGTCTCTGTGCGAACAAGCAACCCAAGGACGACCAAGAATTGGTATTCTCTTAATCAGGACAGAATGAATCTAATCTGATTCCCCAAACACGAAATTCACAAGAACACAAATCGGATGTTCCAGGCCTCCAGGGCGGCTCGTGCCGTAGCCCAGACAGCAGGACGTTCTCTGGTTGCCTGGTCGACTCGGAAGTCAACGTTCAGGGAGCTGTAAGACTCACTTTGTGCACCTTTCGGTGCTAGAAATTGTCAGTGATGCTAGTAGGTTGCAGGCCATTGATCTTAGGTTGGAGGCCATCGCTAGTGATGTACGATGTTCGTCATTTGCGTGACTTTTACAACTTGTGCAGTCCATGAGGTATTTTTGCTGGATGTCATTAGCTCAAACTAGGTTTCTATGTTTCTATCATGTCATACATGATCATGGCTCTCTCGCGCTATCTGAGTCCTTTTTCAGCACCAGAAGCAAGTTTCGCTTCTAGACTGGCAGCCTTCTTTAGCACCAGTGTCAGGTGGCAACACCACCACACCATTGAATTGGAAAGAAAAGAAAGCGACACCAATCATCAAACAACCGAGAACGAAGCTCTTGTTGGACCGAGAATGAGATGCAACTGATTCACGCCGCGTGGAACCGGTTTGGGTTTTGTCGTGCAACCGTCTGACAGACTGCATCGCTTGATGAGCAATTCTCTCCAAAACTCGAAGCACTACAAGCATCTAGGGGCTCCTGGCCGTATCATGGGTATACCTGTACAGGTGGCCTTCAAGAGTAGCATTGACTCGAACATTTGGAAGACCGTTGCGTTGTCTCTGCCCCCTTTTTAGAGGCCATGGCCTCTTCAGAGGCCCTGGGTAAGAGAAACAGGCAAGGATGGAGGTTTCGTCGAAACACGACGCAACATAGCGGCGAAGGCGGCCTTCTAATAGGAATGGCCTCCCACTCCCACCTGCCGCCTCCAAGCTACACGCATCATGCTTCCTGCATCTTCCTGCCTTCCTTTTAGGCTTTCTCTGCCTTTGGTTCTTCCCTCGCCCCCAACTGGTCGACTCCTTGTTGGTTCCGCTCCTCCGACCTCCTCTCGTCCTCGAAGCGTGCCCAGATCGCACCACCACGAGTGTTCAGGGCCCGGTAGACCTCAACGTTGTACACAGAACCTCCAGGGAAGGGCATTCGGAAGGTCGATTCAAACATGTGCATTGATGGATCATGATGGATCATGATGGATCATCCATCTTCATCATGGGATCTTGCATTTAACATGTTTTAGAGGTTTTGTGATGAACTGTCACACATCATGGTACGGGACCCACCCCACCTAGGACTGACCTGCACTTGCAAATCGTTCCTCTGCGGGCAAAGGGTTTCAAGTACTTGCCAGCTTTGCATTGGCAGTCGCCAGTGCACTCACAAGGAGGCAAGTTCTTGGGTGGGAATTGGTTCTTGTCGCAAATGCACTCTCCTCCATGAACCCGCTGCTGGTGTGGTGTCAGTATGAGGTTCTGATTCTTTGGCACATGGACCTCAGTCTGAACGGAGCCCCTTGAGGGAGCCGAACTCCGGCGCGAGCCATGCGAACTGGGCGCGGGCCGAAGCTCGTGTGTTGGCAAAGGTGCTTGGGGCGCCATTTTGGACCACAAGAAGCTCCACGGGCACATGTGTCTCGCACGAATCACAACATGCGGAGTATAGAAACAGCTACTAGTTAGTTGGCGGCATTGGCCACGAAACGTCTTCTCCACGTTTGATTCTAAGGAATGCCGTGGCGTCTCAAAACACTGGAAATGGATCAAAAATCCTGATCAACTAATTCCCTGCAGGGACTATACACAAAACCAAGGTGACACGAAAAATGTTGATAGATGTGTTGGACTTTAACGCATACACAGGTCAGCATGCTGACTATCCGCCGGGCGCGGTCGCTTCATAAGGAACTGTGCCGGCCTGAAGAGCCTCTCGCGTGGAGCCGCGCTGCGCCTTTCGTTGGGCACGCCTCCAAGCCACCAAAACCACGAGAAACGAAGAGGACACGCTCAAAATAACCCACTAGCAATGGCCTCCAACCTAATTTACTAATAGCGATGGCCCATGGCCTCCAACGTAAAAGCGATGGTCCCCGCCAAAAAAATCTACTCACAGAGCGCAAAGAGCACACCTTGCCAAGCGCGCGTCTTGCTGAGCTGCCTCTCCCAGCAAAGGCTCCACCTGCACAAATGACAAATGACATCCTGAAACACAAGGTGCCTTGGGACCTTGCTGTTGTCTTTCTTTTTTGTTTTTCTTTCTTTCATTATTTCCTTCTTTAAGTTTCTTTTTGAGGTTTCAGTTATTTCTATGGTGCTCTTCCTGCAACCTCCAGATGTTCGCAGTCGAAGATTCTTTAAGTTTCACGGCTTCAAGCAAGCTGGGTGCTGGCTTCTGCGGCGGGTGTGTCATGGTGTCTCCTTGGGTGGAGGCACACGAAGCTTCGCTTCGCTTCGTGCCACCAGCCTCAAACTCCCACCTGTCGAGGATGTCATCCAGGACCTAAAGACACAATGTGAAGAGGGACGAGGAGTATCCTTGATGGCCCTCTGACTTGTGTTGTGATGCGAATAGCGCTTTCTGCACTAATCAAACCCCAGAATCGGACGAAGCACTTGCCAATCTCCCACAAGGTTAGCTTCTTGTTCCTAGTAGTAAGGCCATGAGCCCCTAGTAGCGCCCTTGCTCCTAGTAGCGATGCCAGGAGCCCCTAGTAGCTTCTTGTTCCTAGTAGTAAGGCCAGGAGCCCCTAGCAGCTAGCGTCCTTGCTTAGTAGCGATGGCAGGAGCCCCTAGTAGCTTCTTGTTCCTAGTAATTAGTTAACAAAAGTTTGAAGAAACAACAGGAAAATTCAACTCATGCACTCTGGTCTGTTGGTTCTTATGAGGTGTGGCAAGGTCTGCTGTGACGAGGAAAAAACGGTTCTTGCCGCAAAGAAGTGAGACCTTGGGGTTCTGTCTTAAGTGGAACTCTAGTTGTCATCATTTCTACAACTCTTTCTCGCATACAGAAGACATATAAGAAAAAAACACTGAACAGCGAGCCTACACCTCGGCCTTCACACAAGTCAACGGAGCTAAAAAGAACCCGTGTCGCCCAACCCCCCAGACAAGCTGCAACAACACACAACTCTGAATCCAAGCGATAATGGAGCAAAGGCATTCGGAAAGTCGACGCGAATGAACTGAGCAGGCATATATATATCTGCACTGAGCATCTCACAAGCTGTTCCTGTCAAAACAAATCTGTGGGTCGGATTCAAGTCTCTTTGGCAGACCAAATATCTTGCAGTGAAAAGCCATTGCTTGGCTCAGCTCAAATCGTTCAACAACCCTTCAACCATCAAAGGTGTTTGTGTATGAACAAAAATGAAAAGTATGTTTTGACACCACCGGAACAAGAGCACCGCCCATGACTCCACCTCGCTCTCGGAAGACCAGTCAGGCAAAACCTGCCACCGACCAGTGAGGATAAAAACAACTCAACCTACTACCGATGGCCTCCAACCTAATAGCAATGGCCTCCAACCTATTAAGAGCGATGGCCTCCAACCTACTAGTGGTGGCCTCCAACCTACTAGTGATGGCCTCCAACCTAATTAAGAGCGATGGCCTCCAACCTACTAGTGGTGGCCTCCAACCTACTAGTGATGGCCTCCAACCTAAGAAGCGATGGCCTCCAGCCTACTAGTGATGGCCTCCAACCTACTAGTGGTGGCCTCCAACGTAAGAAGTGATGGCCTCCACCCTACTAGTGATGGCCTCCAACCTAAG